ATGAAATGTCTTCTTCCGTGTTTCAGGTGATAAAACGCATGAACCCCGACGTGAATGTTGTAGCTCAGGAGAACCGAGTCTGCCCGGAGACTGAATCTGTGTACGACGATGCATTCTTCGAGGCCCTGGACGGAGTCGCCAATGCCCTGGACAATGTAGATGCTCGTATCTATATGGACAGGCGTTGTGTATACTATAGGAAACCACTCCTGGAAAGTGGTACTCTTGGTACTAAGGGAAATACACAGGTCAGTACAATAGACTTGATCACATCATCGATGCGACGAAAGTCACGTAAAATCACATGCCTTTCTTAAAATGTATTGTATATGACTTAAACACCAAACAACTGTCCTTTTCAGGTTGTAGTCCCATTCCTGACTGAATCATACAGCTCTTCCCAAGACCCTCCTGAGAAGAGTATTCCAATCTGCACTCTGAAGAACTTCCCGAACGCTATCGAGCACACGCTGCAGTGGGCGCGTGATGAGTTCGAGGGTCTGTTCCGTCAAGCCGCTGAGCACGCCGCCCAGTACCTTCGTGATCAACACTTCTTGGACAGGACCTTAAAACTGCCTGGCAGCCAACCTCTTGATGCCATCGAGAGCGTTAGGGTAAGACTATTGCGAAATAAGAAATAGTTTATTGAATAACTCGAACATTGAAAAAGTTATATTATGAATCTTAATTTCTTTTTCCCAGAACGCGATCCAAGACCGACCACTCAGCTTCGACGATTGCGTAGCCTGGGCTCGCCTGCACTGGGAGGCTCAATACTCAAACCAAATCAAACAGCTGCTATACAACTTCCCTCCTGATCAGCAGACCACCAGTGGAGCTCCATTCTGGTCTGGCCCCAAGCGCTGCCCTGCACCTCTTGCCTTTGATCCTTCTGATGAACTCCACTTGGACTATGTAGTTGCTGCCGCTAATCTGAGGGCTACCGTCTATGGCATGGCTCCTTGCACAGATAGGGCAAAAATTGGAAAAGTGGCTGCTAGTATTCAGGTGAGCATGTTGGTTATGTAATTTATTTTTTGCATAGTTTTAGTTATAATTATTATTGTAAATAAATTCAATGATTAAGAATTCTGCTAAGATGGTTTTCATCCAAATACTAACCCTCCTTAATATTAGGTTCCAGAATTCAGCCCGAAGTCTGGTGTAAAAATTGCCGTGACAGACGCACAGCTGCAGCAAAACAACGACGACATGGACCACGACAGGGTAAAGAACATCATCGCAGAGCTGCCGTCACCGGCCAAGCTCGGCGCGCTCAAGATCACTCCACTCGAGTTCGAGAAGGACGACGACACCAACTTCCACATGGACTTCATTGTCGCTGCCTCCAACCTCCGCGCGGCAAACTACAAAATACCTCCTGCAGACAGGCATCGCTCTAAACTCATTGCTGGCAAGATTATCCCTGCCATCGCCACTACCACCTCTGTAGTCGCGGGCCTGGTCTGCCTCGAGCTGTACAAGCTCGCACAAGGATACAACAATCTCGAGGTCTTCAAGAATGGTTTCGTCAATCTCGCTCTCCCCTTCTTCGGTTTCTCAGAACCCATAGCTGCTCCAACAAATACTTATTACGACAAGAAATGGACGCTGTGGGATCGCTTCGAAGTTAAGGGTGAAATCACCCTCCAGCAATTCCTAGACTACTTCAAGAACGAGCATAAACTAGAGATCACGATGTTGTCGCAAGGCGTGTGCATGCTGTACTCGTTCTTCATGCCGCCGGCCAAGTGCCAGGAGCGGCTGAACCTGCCGATGTCGGAGGTGGTGACGAAGGTGTCGAAGAAGAAGCTGGAGCCGCACGTGAAGGCGCTGGTGTTCGAGCTGTGCTGCAACGACGAGGACGGCAACGACGTGGAGGTGCCGTACGTGAAGTACACGCTGCCCTAGGCGCCGTCCGCATGTCACGCGCCCGGTTGTACACTGTCGTCGACCATGTGCTGAGCAGGTCTACTTAGAGCATAATAGTTACCATTTGCGGAGATGGTTGTATCACATCGGGAGGCCGAGTGAGTCGCTCGCGAGTGCTCGTGGGCCGTGTCGGACGATGGACGAGATGTACAGATAGTGTTTACATGTGTGACGTTTTATTTTGTGCTTCAGAACACGCTTTTTGTCAACTTATTGATTCATATATTTATAGTAGTTTATAATTAATTGCTCACGTCTCATCAATCGCGCTAGCATTTATTCTTTTTTATTCGTCTCGTGATACCACAATAGGTTTTACACAAAAATTATTGGATATTTTTAAAGTTGAAATCAGATGGGTCTGTATATGGAAAGAAATAAATAAAATTTGAGCAAATTTTTGTTTTATTATTTTATAGGTAGAGATTGATACTCTGTGTTTTTGTCCTTTTTTATGAGGAGATAGGGATATAAACAGAAAACACATTAAATTTTTGTATGTTTATTGCGTAAAAATGTATGCACGAAAATACAATACAATATCACTATGTTACGTAAAACAACTTTGGAAATATTTGTGACTTAATTTTTAAAGACTTCCATTCACTTATTTCATTTCAAGTGAGTTAATTAGAAAGGGCAAACACGATTTTTTGTCTCGAGATTATGCGCTTCATAAACATATTGCAAATCGAAGACTCCGTTAAATAATGTGTGGTGGTTCAAAGACCGTACGAATAACTTAGTAAAATGTAGTTAGAAACAGGATTTGAAAAGAACGAGATCTGTGAGTTCTGACTAGAGAATGTAGAGTTAGCACTGACATACAACCTGGATCAAAGGTACAGTAGAATATTCTGTAATGTTATAACTAGTATGTACTATCAACAGTTGGGAAACAACGAAACAATTCCTTAATGGTATGGTGCAGAGATTTTATTCAATTAAAGATAAAAACAAATTTATATAATGGTACAAAGATCAGACAACACATCTAAGTACTTTTGTCTAAACATACACACACATAATATTAAAGTGTCTACAAAATGATTGTGAAAAGGTTATTTCATTTGGAAGCACTTTTTAAAGTAATAATATTTGGCATTATGTAGTGTTGTTGTGGATCTTTGTAACATGATATAAAACGGTAATAGCAATAGTTCTGTGTAAGACAACGTTGATAGGACAGTTATTCACAAGTTCTGTGTAAAACCTATCTAAATATTAAGGCGACTTAAATTTTAAATGTCTTTTATATCGTAAAGTGTACCTATTTACATTAGCCATGTGACATACAGTGCAAATATTAATTTATTTAGAAGTTAATGTGAGTACTATAAAATATATCATTACAATCTGATGCTATGGCGATTTTAATTTGTGTACGGCTAATGTAAACAACGTAAAGCGTGTCGATTACATAAAACTAGCATTTATATTACACCAAGTGTAAGTTCATAGATCTAAATATATTATTATAATACTTATGATATTTTTTGGATTTATCGCCACGACATACAAAAGGCCTCTTTAACATTTTTATTGAATTCTCATATAAATTACTTTTCTTACCATAAATTCAATAAAAGGAAAGAAATTTTAACAGATTCATCTATCTCTGTGGTTATTGCACAGGTGCTGCTTTATTGACACGGTGAGTTATATATCAATTTCATTAATGTACACACGACTACACATCGAGCTTTACATAACCAGTATAAACTGAACGTTAAATGTGCGGAAAGATGATGCGACGCGACACCAGGTTAAACTGGTTTTGTATAGATTGATGTCTGGCCGTGTGTAACATATTTCAATGAAAACGACTCACTCGCATATTTTGAAAGTAAAAAATCTATTACTTGTTATGATTATATGATATTATAAGCAACTGTATTCATATATTATTAATATAGTATTAGATGATATAATATCTGTTTTGATATGCAAACCATATTATTATGTCCTACAATAGGGTCATCCCTGTCATCATTGACAGGGTATGAAAATTAAAAATGTAATTAGTCCCTCAGTGAATGAAAAAATATTAGACACGTATTATGTTTTGATGTATAATAAAATGATACTTAGATATAACGAATCAAAGTTTAGGAGTGGGGCTAAAACGCCATTTCTACACGTATAAAGTGTTCATAGAAGTGACGTCACGCGACATTTCACATTAATATGTCTTCGAAAGTATCGTTTCCGTAAAAAAATTAAAAATACGTGTCTAATGATTTTAAATAATCTACCAGACGGACATCAAAATAAAAATTAGTCATCTACCCTATTTCGTATGGACTTATTGCAAAAAGTAAATATTGAATAATGAAATTATTGCTTTCAATAGCGACTCGTATCATTAATTTTATCCTAGTTTACGTAGATGCGTGTACATATACAGGCACTTTCCTTTGGAAGCATAAACCGAACAGTTACAACCATAATTTATCACTTAATAGCTATTAATAAATAATTTTGTTACAAATTACATTTGACCTACTTTGTTATATTTGTTCAAAATGAATGAGAATGTTTCTCATAGGATCCTGGTTGAAGTATCCAAGATTTCCTTAATTTTAATTTATTTTATTGAAATACAATTTTAAATGCACTTTAGTTCGCTTAATTAGTCGTAGTGTATAAAAGAGAGCGCATAGGCGGAGTACAGGAGAAGCTCGACTTTTTTTATCGAAATTAAATACGTGTACTTAATTTTTATTTCAATATTTCCAAGCACAAGCATAATAAATAATTTCGGCATATTTGTATTTAGGCTCATGCGATATAATAAATACGAAATTATATTTTTGTGGCTAAAAGTTTGTTATAGTTTACAAAAAATACAATGTATATCAAATTTTATTTAACTCAATTCACCAGATAACGGCGTCTAAAATACAATAAAATCATAAAAAGAAGATAAAAAAAATAATTTACAAAACGGCTTATTAGGGCGAAGCTCCAGATAATTTGGTTTTCAAAGTCTATAGGTTGACGCCGCGGCGCTGCGCCCAGCAGTGGGCAAAGAAGCGCGGCAGGCAGCTGGGCGGCGTGGGCGAGGGTCAGCGCCAGGGGCGCCGGTGTGGGCTGGCCATGTGCCGGGACACCGACACTCCGGACCGCTTCTCCTCGCTAAAAGTCTCTGCGATAATGTACACAATATTGTTATAATCACTTTTTACGACTGAAATTAATAATCGATCATAATCTATAATCAAGTGAGACAGATTTTTGACAATATTTATCAAAAACAGAGATCTGTCCGGAATTTTGGATAATGATTGGTTATTAATTTCGGCCGTTAGTGGACTCTGTTGCGAATTAACCTTAGTGTTAACTAGGTATAGACGTACAGATTTTCTAAGAATAAGACATCATCTAACTGCTCTTCGGGTGTTCTCTCGTTGTTCGGATGTTTATTAAATCCGCCTCTGCAAGACTTACCTATGAGATCGAAAGCAATACGAAACGAATGGTAAATAGTACGCCGATATAAATTATAATCATGATAGATTCTATTAGGTATAACTTTAGATATTCTGTTTTCGAAGTATAATATTTTCCACATGTATGATCCGTATGATTTACGAGTACTGCAATAAGCATTATAATTAACATTTACGTGCAATGTTAAAATTAAATTTCAGTTATTAAAGTGGTACTAATATGTAAATCAAATCAATTAGATTCAAAGCCAAACGTTATTAAGATTGCTTCAACAAACACACTGACACAGTAGCAATGCAAAAAAATAGTAAAAGATTGAGACAATAAGCACATGCCTTATGAGTAAATGGAAATATTTTTTAACATTAAGATAGGCAGTGATAAGTGTGATTCCTAAAACCAAACAGTTTGCATGCCTCAAGGCGAAACAAAAAGAAAGCTGGCAACATTATGTAGTTCAGTGTTACCATAGTTAGACTGCGTCATCGGCGACACTGCGGTTGGTCGCTTGGTGCGCGCGGGAAACACTCCGGAGTGGCTTTGTGACATTACGTCCCTGTTTTAGTATAGTTTCTGTTATAGAGCATTGTGGTGGAGCTTTTTACAGTTACATAATGGTTCGAATAGAAGAGCCAATATGAATTCATTAGAAATGATAACGGAATGAGATTGAAGACGTTTATTTGTTAAGTTAGGCTCACCGTCACCAAAGCCCTGTAACCTTGATAAATCATTTAATCTGTCGTACCTATTCCAAAAAAGTATCCAGAACCTTCCTCAAAAACCTTTACTTACATCCTAGCGCCAAAAGGTTTTTTACTGAAAGACACCATTTTGAAAAGGTTTTGGACATGGTTAATTTTAGTAAATATTTGACTCACGTCTGTTTCAATGAAGTGCTAGCTTGCCGAGCGGCGAGAGAACGCCGACGCCCTCTGTCTGCAGCGATCATTGCGCAACGCTCAGAGGCAGTACTGGCCACGAAGGTATCGTGCAGGGAGTAGCATGCCGCTGTTATCTGCAAACATGTTTCGTGCTTTTAAGACGAAGTCTAGTGTATTATTTGTTTTCGATTTAAAAACATGATTCTAGATTATGAATACTATTTAATTAAACTCTGATTGAATACCTTACGTATATCTGATTAAAGTAAACAAAACTATATTATGGACTAGACTCTGATACTATTAATCAGTTTAAATGACAGAATAACTTTTAAAAATCCAAAACCCGTGCACCCTGGACAATCACACGCCCCACCAAGCACCTACCTGCTGAATAAGTCGGCGGTGGAGGTCTACGTCAGCGCCCCGGATACCCTCGCGGTCCTGATGCAGCTGCAGGGCGCACAGCAGAGCATCCTTGATGGTCTGCACGGTCGACTGTACTCGGTCCGTGCGCATCAGGCGACGGACCAGGTAACCCTTGGCTACGGCCACTATTTTGGTTGCAGCTGCATGCTGATTCAGACAGTACATAAAATTGTATTGCAAATAATGCACAAACCCATTTCGATAAAACCAGACAATTCTGAAGATGCCGTTTAGCAACAAAGTCAAGGTAAGATTTAGATAGATAAAGCAGGAAATAAAAGTTGGAGGAAATGATCCGAAAACTAGACCACGCAAAATCTTAGAAAGTAAATTGAAATGATATCCACAACAAAACATAGTCCATAGGTAATACAAGACAATGAAGGCTTCACGAATGCAAAAATGAATAACAAGCGAAACATTAAACTCCACAAATGTGCAAACTAATTAGGATCCTTACTAATATTATAAATCTGAAAGTGAGTTTGTTTGTTTGTTTGTTCGGTGGAACAAACAATATCCAGTTTTTACGTCTGGATATTCCCGAGGAAAAACAAAAGTATTGGTATAGATGGCGCTGTGTGTATTGGTATATGTCACATAGGCTACTTTTTATTCTTTTGTGACGCGAGCGAAGCCGCGGGTAAAAGCTAGTATGAAATATGTATCTGGTACAAAACTAAAATTACTTTATGTTCTATATAGGTAAGAACTTATTTTTTCGTTTTGTATTTAACATACTATTATTTTACCTGTTCTGGTGTTCCCTGGATGTCAAATTTACCCTTCGACATACGCTTGTTGGTGCTGTTCATTGAGTTGTATATGGTTCTCTCCATGTTTCGGATGGCATTATCGGTGGCTCTGTTTGAATTTGCTGTAGAAGTCAGTGAAGGTCCATGGCTAACTTTAACTTGGTTCAACACATTAGTGCTGTGGTAAGTAAAGTCATCGTTATCGGAAGGGAAGGTAACGTTCAAGTCTGCCATCGTGTCGTTCGTTCGATCGGTTAACATCGGCTCATAGTCTCGGTCCGATGACACACTCGTGTCATAGTTCAATTTACGGGATGTAGGGGTATGTCTCTGAGTCGGGGAGTTAGTTCGATTTCTACTGTCTGGTTGTGGCTTCGGAGACATAATCTTGCTGCCATTCTGGCTAAGAGATTTGATCGGTTGCTTCTTGATACTTCCCGTAATATTTCTGCTTTTCTTCAGCACATTATCGCAATGGTTTATGTAATGGTTGGTTTCTGTTAACGTGGAAGTAACGGGACTACTGAGACTAGGTTCAGGTGACTTGTAATTGATGAGCTGACTTAGACTGACCGGGCCTCTGTCACCTAGGACATGTTTGTCGCTCCAAGCCTCTTTTGCCTCTATAGGAGACTTCGGGACTATGGTCTTCAGTTGTTTAAAAAGTAAATTGTTCTGTTCTTCAAAAACTTGTTGAAGCAGTAGCTGTTCCTTTTTCTGCTTTTCCACTAAATTCGCCATTTGTAATAATTGTTGATTTTGTATCTTTTCGTAGAGTTCCCTAACACGCACTGCCGGGTCATCGGAATCTTCTAGTGAAGGAGGTGTGGAAGCTTGGGATTGTGTCTTATCGAAGTCTAGAATTGCATTTAATTTAGGTGAACCTGGTTCTTTCACAAAAGTCGCACTATTTCTAACGGGACTGCTGGATTTCAACAAAGGCTTGGGCAAATTATCTGAATTGGGTTTATTATTACATTTCATTGCTTTTGAGGGAACGTTACGTCTTTTTTCTGGACTAAGCGTCTTTGCCCGTGACGGTGGTGAGCGCTGAGGAGATTTTTTAATGGTTTGTTTTACGATGGTTTTGTTAGATGCATTTCTATTAAGATTATGTACGACATTAGTCTGCTTCAGTTCCAGCGCCATCGACGACCATTTCACTTTAGCAGACTCCAGGTCCCAACTCCTACGCTTCTTGTTTGGAGAGTTTAAGTTGGAAACAGATTCGCTCATTGATATAGAGGTCATCTCAATACCTGTATTCATCGATTGCACCTCTAGATGGGCTAAGAGCTGAGGACTTGGATGCAAAAGAGTGTAAGAATGTTGGCGGACTAATTTCGGAGACGGGTCCTTAATGCTTTCCCTATGCAAATCGTTTAAGGATCCTGTAAAACTTTTGGAACTGAGAGAAGATGGGCCATCTTGAGATATTGTCAAATCACTAAAAGGATCAGTTAAAGCATCTTTATTTATATTAAAGTTGAACTTAGCCACCTCCTCAACCATAGACTTTTGTTGTTTATTGTTTCTTTGTGTTCCTACCTCAGTAATTACTTCTTGTTCTGTTATGACTTTTTGAGTAATTCTTCTTGTGCAGTTATAGTCTCTTTCGGGGAGATCAATTAGGGGAGGTGAGTGTGGTGGATCTTTCACAGTCTCAAGAACATTTTTCCCATTTTCATTGATATTGAAATTGAGATCTATAATGAGTTTGGGGGAATTGGAATTTGATGTTTCTATTGAAGCCCCACCTATCTTGGTCACATTGTTACAAGGTATTGGTGATAAAGCTTTATCTATATTTTTAGAAGTGATTGCAGTAATTTTCTCTATGCTAACATTGAATCCAGCTTTTACTTCTTCTTGGGGTAGTTCAAAGCTTTGTTCACATTCAGGTAGTTCAGGAGCATCAGTATTATCTTCAGACTCAGAGTCTGTATCAATTACGTAAGGCTGAAGTATTGATATACGCTTTTCCACTTCTTTGGCAAGGAGCTTGTAGTATTGCATTTCTTTGCGGCACTCCTTTGATAACTGAAATACAAAAATAAGAGATAAGGTGAAACATACAATTGTTTTGATAAAAAGAAAGATTGTTTTTGTCACCTTCAAAACAAACAATATTTTTTTCATTTTTAGATTTATTTCCGATATAATTCGAACAAGGTCTTGCTTAACAGATGAAAATCTGCACATGCTACTTTAAATGCTTGAAATTCTGCAAATAAATGAAAAAAATAATGTAATTTGGGTAATTGTCTTAAAAGGTGTTGAAATTATTTTATTGAATTAAGTAAATTAGAATGTAGCTTTTAAGAAAATTCTTATTTTACAGGAGTACTTCACAGATAAATAGCACTAACAGGTATAAATAAGGATACTTTTGTCTAAAATTGTTTCAAATTGTGTCACAAGTATAAATGGTATGTAAATATTTTACTGTGTGATCTACAAATTGTAGGGCAACCTTAGTAATGATAATGTGAAATAGGTAAAATGGTGCTTTTTTAATTTATTTGTGACAGATATGCTGTGTCCAGTACTTGCATGAATTGTCTGTAGTAATAAAGTTATTTCCTCTAGAATATTCTGTCCTTTCCTGTAAAATAAGTGTTTTTCTCACACCGGACGCTATGGCTAAATGTTTTAAGTGTATTCCACTTGGTATTCCAATATACATAGATCATTTAGAAATCACTTGACATCTAAAAAGAGATTTTATTTAAATTAAATAATTGGTCAGGGATTATCCTTCATTTATGCACACCAAATGTTCAGAGTCTTATTATTACATTAGGCTGATGGGCGAACAATTAGCCAGCTAGAATACAGAAACATAATAAATTAATTAATTTACTTACCACGGGCGGAAGGAGCGGCACCCCGTTCAGTTTCATGCAGGACACGTACTGGCCGGCCTGTCGCACGCACTTCACGTCCCACGGGTCGTTCATCCTTAATCTACTGGACTACGACCAGCGGCCCCTGGACTCCTGATGTACCCCAAACAGCTACTAACTCATCAATATCCAATCACTAACATCTCGTAGGAAGTTGCACAGCACTTTTCCAGTCTATCTAATGCAATAAATCACAAATTTTGAACCGTATGACGGGGGAAATTTAATTTCATTAAACGCCGACGGAATCGCATCGTAATGTACCAGATGTTGTCATGCACGATTACGTCAGGTAATAGGTATTTTAACCGGTCTGGTGAAGAACATTTACTGCAATTTATACTAAGATATGTTGTTAACGCAGAAATATGAATCTATCTAAACTAATTTGTGATTTTCGACTTTATTTGTAAATATTGGCAGAATAATCGGTACTCGAATAGTATGAATTTGAAAATAGTGAAAACTTTTCTCAGTTTCGGTATAGCTGCAGAGCCACAAAATATGTTATAATTGAACCAATAACAAACGCTTCCTTTGAATAAAATACGTTGCTAACCAATAGCAGCGAAGTAAATTCATAACAATATTTTTTTCATAGAATTAAAAACAGCCTATTTAACAGTTGTCAAACAAACTTCGTGTTGCCATGGTTACATTTTAAAATAATGATCATTTAAAAAAAAACACAGTAGTCCACATATTTAATGTATTTTTGGGAATATCCTGGACTAAGTAATTTCATAGAAAACTGCAATAAATCTCTTTTTATTTTACAAATCCAGATTCGTGCTTTAAATAAACTTTCGTACGTCTTTGATTTCGAACGATGCAGTTGACTTGAGTTGACAGATTAATCAATCAAAGTACATTTGACAGTGACAGTGACATGACATCACCAGTTAATTACTGATATTGGTACATTGATTACTCATGTAATTTTTTGGATTATTTACAAATCTTCAATGATAACTTCAAAGAAAACGTGGTGGACACATCAAACATAACAAAAGCAAGTGTGCGGCAAAACTTCAACGTAAACTTTTAGCATAAACCTATCAAAATGGATTTGTTATTAATGAGGAACATTTGTCCCGCCGGAAAGCAGGCGTTAATTTGTTTTTTTATTTCTACTATAGTATTTACGACGTCGTTTTTCTCTGGGAGTGTTCTAGGGTTCTCGTCGGAACTGTGGGCCTTGACTTATTGGGGTCCGGCGCTGTATTTTTGTCTATTTAACTTCATATTAAGATACTGCTATAAAGGCTTCATGTATGAGGTAAGAAACATTAAATTACCTTGACTTATTCGCCGCAGAGTGTAGTATTATTTTCTTAATCTCTAAGAAGCCCTGTGATTAGAAAATAGATAGCCATTTTAGCAAAACATTTTTATCAAGAAACCTTTATTGAATTAGCTTGTAGGTCAGCATGACTCATTTGATTTGAAATATTAATTTTATTTGCAATTTAATAACGTTTCAGGATTTTAGGAACTGATGCTAATAATATTCAATGTAAAAAAAATAATGCTTTTGATAATTATATGTTTTTCAATTTTCAGGTATCAATTAGATCAGCATTTCTTGGTGCCACATTCTCCCTGGGCATCTTCCTGACTAGCTTTGACAATGGCTGGCGAGTGTTTGGGCTGTACACCATTATCCTGTCCTTCTTCCACTTCTCCGAGTTTGTGTCTGTGGCTCTGACCAATCCGAGGACTTTATCGGTGAACTCATTTATATTGAACCATAGTGTACAGTATGGTGCTGCTGCGGTAGCCAGCTGGATAGAATGGGGAGTGGAGTACTACTTCTTTCCTGGTAAGTTAGTCAATTTTGTTACATATATCTAGTTAGACTCGTAAGATTTAGACTAGTTATGAGATACTAAGTCAATGAGGTCGACCAGTAAATAAAACAACATTAGTAGGCACACATAGAAATATGCCAGCTAATGTGTAAAGGTTACAATGGGGTTGACATATCCGTGTGGATAGAAGCCGCTGACTAATTAACAAATAAAAAATTTGTAAAGATCAATATCACCTTGTGACCGGTGATCTAATTAAAAACACATTGTAGTATGCCAGGTAATGTACAAACTTTATTTATGAGTATGAAGATTAAATAACATAAGTTATTTCTTTAGTCTGTCTATGAATATTACATTTGTTGTAGATATGAAGAGTTACTTCTGGCTGTCTGCACTGGGTGTGGTAATGTGCATCACAGGGGAGGGACTCAGGAAGTCTGCTATGTTCACTGCCAAGACTAATTTTAATCACACTGTAAGTAAAACCTCTATTCTGTAAACTTGCACTACATTAACTAAAAATTAAAGGTTACTCACGTAAATATTGTCGCGAAGAACCTAATGGGTAACCGGGGCTCCGGCTCGACGTGCAGGAGAAGGAACGGGGTGGTTTTTAGTCAGTAAGAGTCAGACACTCCCTCCCGCCTCACATAGGCGGGAGCAGCAATTCGATGATTTTCCCCCCTTAAAAAAACTCACATAAATATACTGAGAAAATGTCGCGGCGATGTCGGCAGCCTACACGCTGTAGGCTGCGCGAAATCGCCGCCACCGCCCACGCTTTTCATAGAGAAGAGTCCCTCTATGACTCGAAACTAGGGGAGCTTTTCTCAGCATATTTACGTGAGTAAGTCGTAATTATTAGTTAATTCAGCATGTCTCACGATAGTTATTGTAAAAACATTACACAAAATCTCATGATTAAGAGTCGCTGTCGTGGGTTCAACTTAAAATAGTCCACCACTCTCAATTCTATTTTGAGAATAAACCATATATAACACCATAATTTAATTGCAGGTACAATTTGTAAAGCGACCAGACCATCAACTAGTGACCCATGGAGTGTACTCACTGTGCAGACACCCAAGCTACGTGGGCTGGTTCTACTGGTCCATTGGTACACAGGTAAGGTTTCTTAAGCAATGTAGTTTGGTCTAATAACATATAAAAAGAATTTCAAGTAATTCAAGTCCTCCTTTAAAAATCCTTTGAAGGAAGTACAACTGGTGTACATTGTAGATTTAATAAATTATATACATTTCTTCCCTTTGCCCCCCTTTTTTCGCCAGTTAAGAGATTAGTGAGGTCAATTAAAATTCGCGTGCCATTTCTCAAAACAGACACACCCAATAACACTATCGACCTGGTTATTGCACCCAAACCCCTTACAACCACATGTAGCTTGAAGGATCTCGTGTGACGTATTTTTACAAGCAGTTCATTCATTTTCCAGATAACTCTACTAAATCCAATTTGCGTAATAATCTATACGTTAGCATCGTGGACGTTCTTCCGCGAGCGCGTGTACGCTGAGGAGCTGACGCTGCTGACGTTCTTCGGGCCGCAGTACGTGGAGTATCAGAAGCAGGTCGGCACAGGCCTCCCCTACATCATGGGATACATCCCCGAGAACACCGGGCAGAACATCAAGGATGATCATTGGAGTTACTAAGGTTACACTTTGTTGATTGTCATTTTAGAAGCCTATCTATGCAATTTTACAGGCCTATTTATGTGATATATAAATTTCTCCCGCCTCACCCAGGCGGGACAAGTTATTCGATGATTTTCCCCCCTTAAAAAAATCTATGTAATTGAGAAGTTTCCTAATATTTTTTATAATGTCCGTTTGGCAAATTATGTTAAAACATTAGACACGTAGTTTTTGTTTTCTTACAAAATTAAATAGTTTCGACGATATATTGATTTGAATAATATCGTGGGACGTCACGTGTTGCGATGTTTTATACGAACGTGTTATGTTGTGCAGTGGGTGTCCTGTGGCTGATATTATGTTGATGATACGAACGTGTGACGACCTCTCACTCTGAACTTAAATACGTTTCATATAAGTATTGTTTTCTTGTATGACAGATAAAAAATACGAGTCAAATTTATTTTTCATTATCTAACTGACGGGCTAGTTAGATTTTTAATGTTCATAGCCTATCAACTACCAAATACCAATAATGACTATTGTAAAAAACCTACCATAAGTTAACAAATGCATGTAGTTTTGTTTTCTTTGCAATACAGGATCGATATTGGAACTGAAAATAAATTACTCCTTAGTACAACTCAGAGTCATAATATAAACTAAAGATATAAGAACCGCAGTTGCATGCTAACAGAGTATATCACAACAATTCATTCAGTGTGTAATTTTATTACAGGTAAAGAAGATCTCATTTATTATTGCAGAGAGACTGGTTCAAGTCACAGTGAATTATCTAGTCTAATACAACCTTAAGAACAATATTCATGTAACAAATCTATTTCAAAGTATATTAGTTACTATATCACTGAACATAAATTAAGAATTCTTAAAAATAATAGTATAAAGTTACATCTCAATTGTATAGTACAATTTTGTATTATTTTTGTTATTGCCTCACTTTGTAAGTCTGACCAAGCCTTTAATATTTTTTGGTTTTTTGATATTCAAACAAATCAATGCAATCCATTCCTACAAGATTTTGTTAATTATTAAAAATAAAACGAGCTAACGGATAAAAATAGAAGGTGTCGCCATCTACCCATTTCTAAAAACTATGTAACATTACTAAAAACGTTTTCAATGATTTAACTTGAAACTAATCTGTAAAACTACTTTGTACTTAAATGTAAAATAATAACTATTAAAAAAATTTAAAACTACCAAAAAGGATGATGGATATTTTATACAGACCCTGGTCTATAAGCCTTAAACACCTTGCCTTCAAACGACAAAGCCTGAAAGAACAAAAAAGAAACAGTTAAGTAATATAATGAACCTCATTGAAATACACACACACATTCACAGTCGAGAATATAAGAATTTGTTTTTGCAATAATGATGCATGAAATTCATGTTATGCTGTATATCGAACAATTTTCCATCATCCTTTGATTACTAATTTTATTATTAAATCTTATAGAATTTCTAATAGAATGTTCTCTACTATTTGTAATATTAAAATGTAAATACTTGAATGATCAAATTTTATACATTAAATACTAATGATACTTGTACATACCGACAGAATGAACAGTTTAGTTATATGCATTTTTATGTTTATTACTGGACATGTGAATTGTTTGGTGCCAAAGAAACAAACTATTTCATTAGCCTGCATGCAATATTTTAGCCCCTAATGTAATAAAGCTTTATTATTAAATTGCACTCAAGAAAAGAAGTTTTTGCGTTACTTAGATGGCGCTAGTGAGCTCCAAAGTCATGTTCAATATTCATTCATAGTATCTGTACTACAGCTTTATGTACTCAAATATTCTATTTGATCTCTGTATATTCCAGTAATAAATTATATATTGCAACAGTTTGTTCGATTTTATAAGCATTAAAGTATGTATAAATATAAATGTAACTATGTATGTATATCGCATGCAGGCTAAACTTACAATAGAGCAATGTTTGTGATCTTTGTAAATGTTTGTATGTCAAGGTTGTGAATGTACCGACAGAACAAATGATAAATGAATAAAGAGAAATATTTTTAATTATTGTCTACACTCTGGCTTTCTTTTCCTTCCATTCGAGCAACTAACATCATGCAAATGGAAAAAATCAATGGCAGACCTTTGCATAATGTTTGATCAAATCGCGATAAATATTGTTGACAAAACATTACTTTCTGTGCGCAAAAGTCTCAGTTACGAAGTAACATTGTTCCTTGCAGGCCCTTTATTGTCGACTCCCGAAAATTTATATTAAGTTCCTACAATAAAATACTTACCTATAGTGAATTTTATGATAATTATTACTTCGCTATGTCAAATATTACAAAATATTTTTAATATCATACATGCTTGATACAAATTGTGTAAAATAATTTAATATTGAACTATTTTTTACATCAACATGTCCAGTGTAGCGGTATTTGTATTTCTACTGGAAAATATAGTAGGTAAGTACCTAATTGTTTTAATTTGATTAATTTGTTTTTTTAATAAACTAATCTGTATCAACAGATAAGTATTGTTTTAAACTACATTAAGATTGTGAAATATCAAGTCAGGCAAGTTTATTTAATGAAGCTTTGATTAAAATAAGTAAGTGATAACTTTATCATATCATTGAATAATAAACATTACGTTTACTTGAGCTTTGATGTACAAAGCATTGATCTCAAAGAACATCATTCGGAAAATAAATGTTGGTTCCTGCTAAAACAGTACCTACACGCGAATACAAAGACGAGCGCAACTCTAGCCTACTCCGAATAAGTAACTTCGCTTCGCTCTCTAGCATGGCCAGCACAGGGACCAGTCTGTTTACTAATATTAGAAAAGTAATCGTAATGTTTTGGTATACTTAATTACCTACCTATACTGTTTACAGTTTTTACGTAATAGGTTGGTCCGTTTTCTTGTGAAAATTCTGTATGCAGTAGAAACTATAAGATCAATCGTGATAACCATAATTTTGTTATCTATATTTTAAATGTCCTTTAGGATTCAAAAGCGCCCTCAACGACACTCTAGTACTGAACGCTAAGTTCGCTCACAGTAACGAAACACCAGTGATTCAGAAGTGTGACCCACACACCACCGAGCTGGTGCTGAACGCCGTCAGCCATGACCTCGACCTCGTCATCGTGCCCTCATTCAACACTGATGACACCCAGCTCAGCGAACAGATTAAAGATCAGTCTCCAGAAATATTTAACACGTTCTTTGACAATTCTCTACATGATCCAGATCATGGCAAGGACGCCTCGATGTATGACAACACAACTAATTTATCCGAGAACGAATTTAAGTTGTATAGAAGAAGTTTCGGTAACATGGAACACCAAAATACGACAACAGTTGCGCAAGAAATTAAAAATGAGACAAAAGTTGTGTTTCCAACGAGTGAGCCATTTTTGGTCGCCATATTTGAAACGCTGGCTAACGTTACCGCGCAGACTTGTGCGGGCACTTTGATCACACCGCGGTGGGTGCTCACTGCGGCGAACTGCATCAACATATTGACCAATGTTTACGCTAACAAGTAAGTACCAGTTTTGGGCTTACACTACTTAAAAATAGGCTTCTATTTGTGTTCTTTAAAATTATGAGTTTGTATGTGTTTTTATTTTAATAGCATAAGCCGGTAACCGAGCAGACGGATCACCTGATGGCAAGCAATCGTCGCCGCCCATGGACACTCGAAACACCAGGGCGTTACAAGTGCGTTACCGGGCTTTTGGGAATTCGGATTTTGAGGATTGTGGAGGATTCGGGGATTCGGGAGACGGGGACTAGGGAGGGGGGTAATTGGGCCTCCGGTAACCTCACTCACACGACGAAACACAACGCAAGCGTTGTTTCTCGTCGGTGTTTTATGACTCCGGTCGAGCTGGCCCATTCGTGCCGAAGCATGGCTCTCCCACACTTACACATGTGTAACCATTTCTAGCACCAATACGACGGAGAAAAGTCACTACTACACAGTAGTGGCAGGATCCTCAAACCCTCTCCTGGATGGATCAGCGCACAATGTGACGACGGTGCTGGTGCATCCTGAATACAATTCATCACAGTCTGCTGTCACGAGTGGAGAAATGGGCCCGTATTTGGCATTGATGAGAATCGAGCCTGCGGTGGAAGTTCCAACCATGGAGCTGATGGCAGACGAAGTTACGAGTGGAGAAGTTATGGTTTACGGTTGGATTTTGTCAAAGGTAAGGCAATGGTGAAAAACGTCGTGCTCATGTACTTACTGGATTCATGGACCAAATTCAGATCACAAACGTAGATCATCAGAACTGAACATTTCTGCTAAAATTCTCAGCATTCGTACCTTATTCTTACTCCACGAGCCACCACCGCGTCTCATATTAGATTTAAACAATAGGACAGATATTATGAAAAAACAGTTAAAATGGCTAACTTGATATTGCAGAACGAGTCAGACCGTGACGCGCTGTACCGCTCGTCCACCGCGAGCCAGATCCTGCGCCCCGCGGATTGCCAGGCCATGTACAGTTACAAGGACAACGACGTGCTCTGCCTCTTCAGCCACGACATGGACAATAATATTATGCAGGTAGGTACTAACTGGGTCCAGTGGTGGCACGAAAATCCGATTGCCATGGGTCAAAAAGCGATAGCTCCGGTGTGAATTCCCCTAGAATATGATAAAAAGGAGTACTGTTTCTGTACTGTTTTTAATAAAATATTTAATGTATTTGCAGCTTAGTTCTGGCGGACCCGTACTAATAGTGCACAATGGTAAAGTGAAGATGTTGTCCGTGGTACAGACGGACGAGCACGTGTTCGTGTCCTACCCAGTCGCTGGACACTACGACTGGATCCTGCAAACTATTAAAAATAAATAACTACTAAAATATCGTGTTTTATTTATTGAAAAGTGTTGGGCAATTAAACTCATCACAATAAAGTTCATTTGGTACTGAGGGCTGGCAGCAATAAGAATGAAAGTAAGTTTACCTAAATTCAGTTTATTGAAACAACATAAAGTCGATCGTGCTGACTGTAGACCACTAATATAATGATTAGGTGTAAAAGTCAGTTTTCCTAAGTATAGTATTGCCATCTAGCGCCAAGTAGTTTCAATATATAGTTTTACTTTTTGCCACTAGATGGCATTGAAGATTACAATATACTTTCATGTAATACAATATTCTGATCTCACCCAAACTACACGTTTTATTTACAGTTGATTATAATAAATGCATTGTTTAGCAAAACAATGATATGTCATCATTGCTTAGTGACATAATTTCATTAAGAAAATTGCAGAAAGTACTAATAAACACATCGGTATAGTAAAAACATTCAAGTTCTTTTGTGAATATGCTAGAATGTTTATATGATTCTATCATCTACGATGTACTAGACATTTTCTATAATTCCATACGTTACTAAGCCTTTACTGGCTCTAAAATTACATAACTGTAATGCCATTGCCTCCCTTAGGTAAGCCAGTACCTACGATGTATCTCTAGCTACGTCAGAAGTGCTATCGTGAGGCTTCCTGCATTACTCACAACGTGCACTGAGTATGGTTTCCCCATACTCACAGTTTAACTCTTCTTGTAAACAAATAAAGACATTGGGTCTAAGTGGTAAGACAGTGACCTGGTTACAGAGTTTATTCAGCAAAACGTAACTGCTGATGTCCGATCTCACAAAAACATTAATTATATCTATGGCTCATCCCAATAGATGTAATTAAAAAAGGTTAATGAAACCAGACTTATGATCATCATTGTCATCTTAACACGTCTCCGGTGGCACTGTTGAACATAATAGGCCTCCCTAATGACGGCGGTAGGATGCTTCCGGCAGGGGGTGAACTGCATCCAGCGGCTCCCTGCAACATTTATTAGTTTGTCTGTTCATCGTGTGCGTGGACGCCTGAAGACCCGTCGCGGTGTAAAAATTAAACGCCATGGAAAATTATTACCATGTTTATTTTCCCAAATTTCGAACTTGAATTAATAATAAGGCGATGGAATAATATTCCATTAAGTAGGTATTTTTTTTATGAACCACATCTTAGTGATGATTGTATTTTAATAGTAAGCACAATTAAAGTAAACAAGTTAATTCACATTTCGCTTTCTTATCGAGTGAATGACCTGTCCAATAAGATTCCGATCTGTTTACATAATTATGTAAAACCTGTTCTACTACAGGTACGTAATGACATTAACGTATAAACTGCAGTTATACGTATTCATGCACATTCACAATTTAAAAATTTAGTAAGTTTTGCCAACCGCTCCACTTTCATAATTTCTTCAATCAATGTAACAGCACTTCACTCCTGCATGCCCCTACCCCTACTAGCAGTAGTCTTATTTTTAGTTATAACATTTTTTTATGGCATAAGCCGGTAAACGAGCAGACGGATCACCTGATGGTAAGCAATCGGCGTCTCACATGGACACCTGGAACACTAGAGGCGTTACAAGTGCGTTATCGGCCTTCTGGGGTTTAGGAGTTTGAGGATCGACCCCAATCTTCTCAATCCCTGAATCCCCAATTCAGGGATTGAGAAGATTGGGGAAGGGGAGGGTAAAGGGGCCTACGGTAACCTCACTTACACGACGAAACACAACGCAAGCGTTGTTTCACGTCGATTTTCTGTGAGGCCGTGGTATCACTCCGGTCGAGCCGGCCCATTCGTGCCGAAACATGGCTCCCCACACTTAAAAAAAACCGAATCGTTAAGAAAACCCGGAAAATACTAATAATACTTTTGCGCGTCAAGTAATCGAACTCGAGCCCTTTGCCTGGCAGTAGTGGCAGTCGCTATTACGATCACTACCAACGAGACAGTCACATTTAATTTAATGCAAAGCAGTTAAGTGCGACAAACAAACAAGAACATTGTGTAATTCGCGCATTAATATAAGTATTCTTAAAATTAAGGATCAAGGTAAAAGTAAAAAACTGACCATGTGTGACGTCTGTAAATGCTTTCTTAGTAAGTCCTTATGTAACAACAGAGTGGTTTACCTACATATTTATACCTATTATATATGTTGTAGTATTGTTGATATATGTTGAATCATCCTACTAACTTACGATGTATTACCTAATTCTATACAAATACTACAATAATGTTTTGTTGTAAATATTACCGAAAATATACCTTTCACTCTTTAAACGATGACTAAAGTATGTATGACGATATAGTAAACACACTCTATACATAGTTTTAATTTCTACGTAGGTAATTATGTGGTTTTGTCCATTCTGTGGTTAATTATATCAGCATGTTTACCCAAGTCCTAAATGGGAACAAATTAGGTAAAGGTAATGTTTAAGTTAATGAAGGTGGTGTAATTTCTGGTACCTATAATGGGTTTAGTTGTTTTTCTTATTTTCATATAGGAATTAAACATTAGATAAATGTTTTTATAATAACTATCGTGAGACATACTAAATTAACTATAAATCGCAGCTTATTCAGGTGAATATACTGAGTAAAGTTCCACCTACTGGTTTCGAACCACAGAGAGGTTCTTCCTCATGAGCAGCGTGCGCGGTCGCGGCGATGTCGCGCAGCCTACGCGCTAATATATAAATGATTACGCATTACGCATCGTCGTATTATCTTGTGTAGTTATTATCAGGTATTTATTTTTAATTGGTATGAAGGATTAATTACAATACTAAAACGCCTGAAAGCCAACAGCTTCATTTAAAAATGCCGTGTAAGAATCGTGGTAAAACAGTTTTATTTTAATTAGCGAAGCTGTTCTACTTAATTTTCCGTGAATAGTATGGCGATTGTTACGTCATCTGGTGACAGAAACTTTCACACTAGCTTTAGTTTGTTACGCATAACTCTTAGCACACATGACGCTGACCTCTGTGACCCCGCGCTGGCACTCGTTCAAAACCAACTTGCGACACTCGATGCTCCAGAATATTGCAATTTACTCCCTAAGTACTTTCCCCATGTTACAAAACATCTTAAGTTTTGTCCAATAAGGGTTGTTCTTAGAAAGACCGATTTATCTATTACGAAAACATTTTCAATCAAGACACTAGAGTAGATAGATATATATATGATAATCTTAAATTAATTTACTATTAAAAATTTGACAAACCTCTCTTTTTAAAGCTGATTATTTCGACACGTGACCTGCAGGTAAGTGATATTGAAGTGACCAGGCACCAGTGATTCAGGCAGGTCGGTAGCCCATCGCCTTCGCCCACTATCACGGCAATAAGCCATTTCCTTCGCTTGGCATTGACATTTGCAATGAAGGTATATCACATTCCTCGTCCCAGAGACTCAGAGACTCAACACACCGCTATTCTGTTGCACTTTATTGCATAGTTATCCAATAATATTACACAATGTCGGACCTCCTGACGCTAACGGTCAATTAATTTGAATTTTACTTGAACGCGCACATATTTCTCGATGTTATTTCGATTTACCCGCATTTTGTGGCGAAACTTTTGATCTAGTCTGATACTACCCTCATTTTGATAATGTGGCATTGTGTCAGAAACATTTTCGATGCTGTGTCTTACGTATACTTTCTATACAATTCTTTGTCCTATTCTTTAATCCACAATTTATTGTAAAGGATTTCTTTACTAATGTATTAAATTATGCAAGTAATATGCAATAGCCAGTTTGTGCTACATTGCAGCAGATCCAGGTCACCACCTAGTAGCGAGCGAGCCCTAGACCTATATTGCAGTACTCACACGGAAGTCGCAGCTCGTCGAGTGAAACCATCATGATAAGCAGACAGTGACCGCTAACGTGACGTCACTGCCGAAGAAAGTGGTGCTGCTCGCCAGCGGGCAGCGGGCAGCCGCAGCCGGGCTCCGTCGCCAGTTCACGACAGACGCGCGCGCGGGCCGCACGCTCGCGACATGGCCAGACGGAATTCGCGCTAACCAATAAAAGTTTAATTAGTAAAACAAAATGTCATTCCGGCGACTACTGAGTGCGGTCCGGTCAGCGCGGGAAGCCATCACCCGAGGAGCTCCGATGGCGGACGGACTGTTGAAATCCTTGTTATCAGTTATTGTAATATTTTGCATCGCGGTGTCGTCGCCTCCCTCGGCGTCTGCGAAACCGTTTGCGTTCAGTTTTCCTGCGGGATGGTCACTGGCTGGCCTGGTGGGCACCGTGGGGGCGCGCTCTGAGGATGCCGAGCGGAGAGAGCCAGCAGCGGGGGCAAAGCCCTACACGGGGCGACGCATCGCTAACGACACGCTGCGGATGGTGTACCACCACGACCTGACGGTGGCCGTGGTAGAGCTGGGGCCCAAGAAGCTGCTTCTCAACTGTGAACTCATCGAGACACAGTGAGTACCTACTTTGCTTGAAGTTATACATTTAGTTGTCAGTCTCCCTGTAAAATACCGGGGGAGGTTTGTAACCCGATTTAACTCCGTAACAAATTAGTTCAAATTACTTTTAAATACTTCAAAGTAAATCGGTTACAGGAAAATATTTTAATCGGAAAAATGGAAGTTCACTTAGAGTGTGTGAACGTGGACACATGTTAAGTAATGAATACTTGATCACCAGCCATTGACAGGCTCATACTGCCGCCAGTTCTAAGAAAATTGGTTAACTATCATTATTTATTGATTCCGACTACCGCTGTAAACCGCCTGGACACTGAAGTATTCAAAAAAAGTAATTATGCTTACTCATAAGTCATAATAGCGTATCTCAAAGGTCTATCCAGACTAACATAAATACACTCTATTCCTGTGGGCCCTGTGTCCTTAGAATCCTCTTTTCGCATTTTGGTGTGCGTCTAAGCATGTAGTAACTAGTAAACTAAAGTGTGAGTGAACCACAAATCCTTATTGGCAGTTTGTATGTAATAGACGCTGGCGTGTCTGATGTCTATCTAACATTAGGACCGAGAGCTATTTTATCGTTATTGCCTAGTTTTAGCTGCTCAATTGGACAATTACCGACAATTTTCAACTAAAGAATAGTATGTAACGACATGTGAGCCGGGGTTTACTTTAGTTTTATGTCTACTTGTCTACAGAAGCAATTTGTAATCGCACTAACTAACTATATTATGGGTACTACTTTGACCTTAACCTCGAGGTAACACCTTTTACATGGCTTCTAAGGATGTGAATGCTCTTACTATCAAAATGGTAGACCGCTCTAACATGCGTCTGCGATTTATTTCACATACCTAGGTACTTATTATTGTAGTTGTTTTCACTTTCGAATGAAACTAAACTTTAGTAGAATTAGTGCCAAATTAATCGTGAACATGGGAACATGCAATGTTAGAATGGAAAACACAGCTTGATAATAACTTGTACAAAACTAATTGGTAAAAGATATAGAATATACAGAATAGACCATCAAATAATTACGCACTCTAATATGGATCTTATAGTTATTTATCATTAGTTCATTACTGCATGTTGTAAGGAGATAGCCACTTCAAATCACTAGGACACCATAAGCTGACTAAATACCTAGGCAGTTTAAAACATCTCAAAGATGAGCTATGTGACGTGTGTGATGGGTTCGTTTGCATAGCCAAGGTTACGGTCGGTTACGGGAGCAAATTAGATGAGTAACTCGGTGCAGGCAGGACCTTCCTGCTAACCCCTCAACTTATAAATCTTGATGTCAGGAGCAACGACTAAACAGCTGACGATGATAGAGTTCGGATCTGGAGAATTCAGTTTAAGTGGTCAGGGAAAACTAAAACTAAAACTTCTTGATCATACTTTTACAGCTATAAAGAATTTAGAACAACTTCTATGGAAAACTGTAACAAGCCTTTGCTACTTAAATATGTATTTAGAAGCTAGACACGTAAGTACATATTTAAGTAAACTGAAAACTTTAGTGGTATATCAAAATGTGGCAACATTTTTCTTGTCCCATTCAGTTTTCTTTGACCTCAAAATCACACAAAATATTATGCATCAATACAAGTATCAATTTAATTAAGGTCCACTTCGTACATAATCCCCAATCTTACTAAAAACTCTTCTTCCTTATCTTCAAGCGATCATCTAACTTGTTATTCATAGGATTCTGCAGTGGAAACTTGATCCTCATCAATCAGTATTAGAGCGTGGCCACTAGCTGGCCTGGCACATGAGGCGATGGTATCCGACCATTTCCTCAAGTCATTATGCGCATGACTCGTTTATCTTTGTCCGTCGATCATACATCCTTGCGCATGCCCATTTTATTGTTCGCGAGAACCGTCCAGTAGCTGTAGTGAGGAGTTTTGTTAGTGGAGTAGATGGTAATGTTAGGGAATATATAAATGAACATGGATAAGGATTCTCTTCTATGGATAGGAAAGGAAAAGACGAAAATGATGTAAACGGACGCGATACGTGGCCGTTACTGTTTTTAATTCTGAACAAGTTGGAATATTATTATCAAGAGTACCTACTTTCATATGTTTATCAATTACTTTGTGTCTTATAGCTGAGAATAATCGAACTTTTAGATATACAATCTTCTTGTAAAGTTTGCGCAATACAGCCGAAATCAATCACAAACTCAAAACAAACTCCTTGAACTATTTGCGAACAAAGCGCAGGATCCATTAACATTACATATGATGGCAAATTGTGATTATTACCATTAGTGTTTACAAATAATAGTTCATGTCGGTGTATATGGCCCAGGGACACCAATTACGTATTGATTCGATCGCCTAATGATCAAAAATTAATGGTGCCACTGCCATTACTGTAACTTTGTACAACAATGAAACTATGGAGGGGTGTTGGATAATTTTGTTTTGTTTTTGTTAAAATTCATGATGTTTTCTTTGTTAAAACAATATCCAATTCTTTCGTAAAGCGACTGATTTGTTATTACAGTTACTGAGGGTTGCCGAAGTGTGGATAGACATGAGTGTAGTTATAGGAGCCTCGATTTGTGTCCCGTGCGATGCGATGTAAGCTGTGTCAGTAGGTCGGGTCGTTATCCCATCAGCTCCTTTATTTCAAAGACCCCTTCAACTTTATAAGGTCACTCTATGATTGAATTTATTGTGAAACACCTAAAAACTTAATGAATTTAAAACAAACACTGCGTGTAAATAAGTATTCTAACACTAGACCAGATTATTAGTACTGATAGAAGCGTGGGTATCTTTTAATCTATTTAATGTCGATTTTATTTTCAAATCCAATCCATTACTGTTATTAGTGGCACGTACGTAGGTATTTATTTTGAGCTTACCCTTTTAGTATTTACTCATTAATGGCGGCTATTTTAGGATACATATTCTAATAGGTTCTAGATGTCTATGTATGTATATATGGCTTAAAAATAGCCTTATATAGCCCTATAAACCTATATAACGAAATGTTATCCACCTAGATCAAGTCAAAGCTAAAATCATGTATTGCAATTAGAACAGGAAGGCACTTTTGAAAGTCAACAAAAAAATTAAAAGTGAAGCTATTTGCGTAGATTCCTATGGAGAAGAACGAGCAAGAAACTCTATAGGTCTCATATAGTACTTATTTTGAATCAGGTTCAAAATACAATTCTTACGTTACATAGTTTTGTTGGTTCGATTGTGGTAAATAATGGCAATTTAGTCTTTAAAAATAAGTAAGTCAAAATCGTGGCCCAAATAATATGGCACGTTCTATAACACGTTGTTAACAAAACTCATACATCCAAATAATTATGTTTAAACAGTAAAATTATACACAAGCAGCTACATAGGGCAATTGTAAAACTATCGTAAATCACTTTAATGCTGTATTTTACATTCTACATGAAAATTGTTATCAGGTTTCGAAACTAACATTTATTTCACTGTTGTTGTGGCGCGAAACGTAGTTCACGTGTTTTTCTGATTCACTGGGGCGCTTTTTTAAGATTGGTACCTATGTTACAAAAACTATTTACGGCAGAGCCTTGCATGGCAACCCAAAATGTTTCCATCGTCATAAACAGTCAGACAGTAAATTGTGGACAAGCTCCGTAACTGTGAGAAACGGGTTAAAAAGTTATACGACTTTAAGTAAGTTTTGAATGATAACCAAGTTCAAGTTTCGTGTAGTAAGATAAAATTGTTCTTTCATAAATCAGTTCAGACACTTAGGTGATCATCAGTATCACTAATAAGATATACAAATAGTCTTTAAGTTAATTCTACACTCTAAAAGTCTACAAGGTATTAATCAAGTCAAGTCACTAACTAGAATTTAAATTTCTACTAAACCTATTGCCACGAATTGCGTACCTACCGCGTCCACTGATCTTAAGTCGCAAGAATTAATAATATAATAGATAATTATTTATTCCAAACAGTTAGCGACCTTACCATCTTAGACCTCAGAATTAGTTGGCTTCTTACACAACACGTAATATATCCTTCTTGTTGTAATATGACCTCGATTAACTGGCATGCCACCGTAAGGTACGGACAGAAGTTTCAAATGATAGAACTATGTGTTTCTATTTTTCCATCATCAGTTAAATATTATTAACTTTAGAATAAAATTGACATTTGACAGTTATTAGTATGGAAAAATTATTGTCAAATATTCAAAGTTATTCATCTGATAATTTATCTGAGTATTGAAAAATCGGCGCTAACTTTGTCTGTTAAGTTACGTATAGTCTGTTTTACATAAACTACAGTTCTCCTCCAAAGTTTCACCTATCCCAAGTCATTTGGAGTTGGCTGGTTGTTTTCTTCTTTCATTCTATTTGGACAATTGTATTATTATTTTTTTAATATGCTTCATGTACAAAATGTACAAATAGGTGGACTTAATGCCTCAGGCATTTTCTTTATCATTTTGTAAAAAGAAAATGTCGTTAGTTATGGGCTTTGGTATCATTCAATCAAGAGTAAATGAACTAGCAGATATCTTAAACAAACAATGTTTCCGTATCCATGAAATTTGCCAATAATAAAACTATTTTCTTTTCCACATTCATGTTTTAAGTAAGTAATATCTTTGACCAGTCATTTAGGCACTAAACTTGCTATGTACCTCATGTTACTCCAGTATAAAATCCTTTTGTCAGTGCTGTGCTGGCAGTAATTTGAAAGCCGTGAATAGATTGAATGGATAATGAGGAAGCTCCGAGCATTATTCAGCCGACGAAGTCTTTTGAAGCGCGTCGTTTGACATGCTGCCTGAACTGAACCAAAACTTGCCATAACTAACTAGGTACTTGTGTAAAATACTTTGTGAGTTACTTTTTGAGGTCACACATGACAAGATAGTACAACAGGACATTGTGTCGGTTTCTGTCTTAGCCTTTAACTACTTAGTGCTAAATAATTTACGATTGACACTGAGTTACCTAAACTTGATTA